TTTCTATTAATTTATTTCATTTCAATAATTTCTTATTATTTATAATCTTAATATATAATTATAATATCAATTATTAAATGTTTCTTTTGTATAATATTAAACTTAATAATATAATTATAAAAAGACTTTGAATTAATACAAATAATAATTAGGATTTTAATAAAATAAAGAATATTATCAATTATATTTTTGATTATAATTACAATATTGAAATCAAAAACTAATAAATATAATTTTAATATTAAAATATTTCGAGTAATTCTTTTGTATTTGATAAATAATTAATAGAAAATATTAATATAATAATATTTATTAATATTTATTATTAATTTGTTTTTATAAAATTCGATCTAGCTACTCTCAATGATCTAATAGTGACCCGTTCTTCCGTCCCGAATAGATTCAAGATAATGGACCCATACTAGCCCCCAAATCCAGATCATATACAACATATCACAAAATATCATAGTCTATCAAAACACCCAAATTGTCCCGATTAAGTATCAAGCTCCCGAAACACGTCTCCGATATCCCGTAAAAGTTTCGCCTTCCCCAGATGTTACCAGGTCTTCTTTGATCTTCCTCCTCCTCTCTGCACGACTTGGTGGCTTTTCCGGAATTGTGTTTTCTCTCTCCTCTCTCCGAACACTCGCCATATCAATCATCAACTCATCATCCTCCTTCTCCCCGTCCTCTCTTTCCTGCTGCGCCTCTAACACCCTGCCCCCAATCTCACTCCACGTTTCATCCCTACCGCTCCTCGTCTTCCTAATGATTTTCTCCCTTACCCTATCTATTTCTTCTTCACTCGTTACTATCTCTCTTCCTATCCCCGCTTTCACAGCCACTTCCTGCACCTCATCCATCTCAAGCTTCTTAAGCAAGTGTACCCCCGTCTTCTCCTTCCTCCTACTCCTATCCGCATCCGCATACATATTCAAATTATCCGGAAGCTCCAACCCCACCAATCTCGCCTGAAATTGTGGTTTGATAGCTTCTCTTAGATCTCGTACTGTTTGTTGTTGGAGGATATAGCCGGAGAGGAAGAGTGCTGTCGTGAAGATGAATACTGGAGAATTTTTAATTAGTTCTCGATCATGCTCGTAAAAATAGGAACAGTTGATTCAAGAATTGATGTTGAATAGTCTCCAAGGAATGTTGAAAACTAATACGTACTGATAAAAGAGGATATAGCCACTGAGATTTGTCCGGATGTTAGGAGCATTTTGTCACTACCTGCGTTGGAATTTGAGACCTCGGAAATATATTAATTGGGCTTTTTAGTGAACGCAACATGTAGAAATCGATTGAGATATTATAATTCCGCTCTGAATATACTTCTTTATTATACTCAAGTATATATTATATGTATGTCATTGGTCCCCACATCAGTAAAGGGCACAGCGAAAATAGTCGCCTGGTTGACCTGGCAACTATCTTGATAAGGGAGATCCATCAGTAGATCGAATCATTAAATATCAGTTTACGATATACCAAACACTCACTCGCTGTGAAACATCTCATCGTTCGGTCATCGAACGTTTTCCACTTCCCTTTCTTGTTTACGAAACTCAATCTCCATCTTACTCGAAGCTCCCCATTCATCTCAAAATGACTACCCATCGCGCCGACGAAAAGCGTTTCCTCGATGAACGGGGCAATACCGGTCCTCTTGCTCCCAATGGTCTCAATCCTGCCACTATCCTCGAGAAACCTGTCCGCGAACGCATTGTTGATTGTTATTTCTGGAAAGACCAATGTTTTGCGCTTAATGAAGCTGATATCGTATCGCGTGTCGTTTCCCACGTAACATTTATCGCCGGCACATATGGGGATTCGCAACGGCCTTCGCCATTTTTATGCCTCGCATTCAAGTTATTACAATTAGGGCCCAGTGATGAGATATTACAGGAATACATGGGATACGGGGGAGAGAAATTCAAGTATTTGAGGGCATTGGCGTTGTTCTATTGGAGAATGACGAGACAGGCGAAAGATGTATTTATGGTTTTGGAAGGGTATTTGGAGGATAGGAGAAAATTGAGGAGGAAGACGAGGACAGGGACAACGTTGACATTCATTGATCAATTTGTGGATGAATTGTTGACGAAGGATAGGGTCTGTGGGACGACGTTGTGGAAGATGCCGAAGAGGGAGATACTGGAGGATTTGGAGGTGTTGGAACCGAGGATCAGTCCGTTGGGAGATATTAAAGATTTATTGGGTGAGAGTGAGGGAGAAGGGGAGGTGGAGACAGTGAAGGACAGTGTGGGATCAGAGAGTGTGAATAGTTCCGGGAATGAATTTGGGGTGGAAACGGCGGACAAGGGAGAAAGAATGGATATGGAGTCTGGACCCATCGGATGAAGATTCTCCAAATAGGCAAGGAAAGCTCGTAATACCGGCGAGGAATCTTTTCGGGAGTTTGGTGCATGTTTTGGGACTCGAAGATTTAATACTCTAGGAAAACATTTTCTACGAAAGCTTTATAAAATCTAATTATAAACTCTACTATGTACTATAATCTTTCGAACAAAAATAAGCGAAAAGATTTATTAGTTCTTGTAAAAGTATTAATAAATAAGGAGTATTAAAGTTAAATTCTTATATAACTTTAAGATTAATATAATACTTAGCGATATAATTAATAATATATAGATAGACTAATATTACTAGCTTAGTTTTCTATATAGTTTTAAGAAAGATATTTTTTATCTCATTCTTAGACTCTTCTCTTTATGATTATATAAGTATAAAAACCTATAAACTATTCAATTAGAGATATAAAAAATAGACTAGATTCATTATCAAAAGATCTAAAACAATTTGATTACAACTATAATACAAAATATAATATTTAGATATTTATTCAATTATTTAATTAACGATTTAAATTCAATCAATAATTAATATATCTTGAAATCGATTCAGTATATAGAAATAAATTTTCTAATCATTTTTATATATA